GTGTTACCTATTCTGTGTATCAGACAGTCTAGGAATGGCAATTTACAGTCTTGCTCTAATTCCACAGTGAATTTGATCGAGGGGGCTAAGTTGTTAAGTTGTGGCAGGAAAGCTTTTAGGTCCTCATTACATGGCCAGAGACATAATACATCATCAACATATCTAAACCAGACTGCTGAAGGTGGTAAAATATTACTTAATAGTTTCTTTTCAAAGAATTCCATATATAGGTTGCTTAATACAGGTGAGAGTGGATTACCCATTGCCATACCAAATTTTTGAGCATAATATTCTCCATTGAATTCGAATTTGCAATCCTTAATACATAGTTTGATGAGTTCGATGAAGTCGTCTTTCGAGACGGGCAGTGAAATATCATCCAGGGAATCTATGAGGAACTCTAGTAAATCATCAACTGGGACCTTTGTAAAGAGTGATGTTACATCAAAACTGACCAGTTTAAAATCATAATTAATGTGTAAGTTATTGAGTTTATCAACCAAATCCATATTATTCTTGATATTGGAGTTAGAAATGTTGCCAACTAGGGGATTTAGTAAAGAAACTAACCATTTAGATAGTTTATAAGGGATTGACCCAACTGAGCTAATGATGGGTCTTGCTGGGTTATTGGGCTTGTGGGTCTTGATTACACCGTACATGTATGGCAGTGGAGGGGACGTTGAAGTAAGATGTTTAATGAGAGTAGCTTTGCCTCTCAATAGGGACTTCGGTTTTTTGTTGAACTGGGAGTTGACAGTGTTGAGAGGATTATTTATGAGTTTAGAATATGTTTTAGTATCACATAAAAGGTCATTCATTTTAGAGATATAGTCATCTTAGTTTAAAATCACTACTGTGTTGGCTTTATCTGCTTTAGTGACATGTAGATCCTTATTTTTCTTAAGGGCTTGGATTGCTTTGGTGAATCTTTCTGGAGAGTTTGGAATGCAAGGCTTGGACATAGATGCATACACAACACCTTTACACATGTTCACTTCTTCACTTGTCAAATTACTGAATTTCTCCAAATTGAAAAATGCTCTGGCTATGTCAACACTGTCGACTCCCTTGTTAGAACCATCAAAACTTAAACCATAGCCAAGGGCACACAAGGTATCATTGTCTAGTTGTTTAGAGGAGAGATTCACTACACAGTTGTGATTGGCATCCTTAGTCCAGTAACTATTTCTAATAAGGAGTGACAATTTGTGGTCTATCTTAGCTTGAAGATCAGAACGCTCACGTCTCAGGTTATCAAAACAGTAATCCAACATGAACTTTTTCCAATAACTCGGTATGGTCATATTAAAAGCACGCTTTTTTTGTCTTACAATATGGAAGGCTTCATCCACTTCAATTTTCTTTATTTCAAAATGTTTCTTAAGGATGATTTCTTGGAACTCATCAAAGGGGCGGTCAGACATCTTCAGGACACGTTGTGGGAGGATTGATCTAGGCATAACTTTTTCACTGAGGCATGTCTGGAGAAATTTCAAACGTATTTTCAATTTGTGGGCCTTGATCATCGAAGAGGAGTATTCAGTAACGAAAGGAGACAGTCCACTAGGATCCCGCTTCCTCTATCAAGGAATAAACAATTAAAATTTAAATTGAAAAAAAAAACATTCAAATAAATTACTATCTTACAAGAATCCCTCTAATGTAAGTTATATTCACCCAGGTCGTTTGGGTGGAAAATTATGAGAAGAGCTTAGCCACTCATAAGTAATGATAAATAAACACGCAGGCAGGCCTTCAGCGCCAACTGTCAAATCTTATCTCAAATAAATAAACAAACAAACGCCAGACATTCTGTCACCTCACCTCCAGCCCCCCTCTTCCCACCCTGGTGATTTCTTTATGTTTATTTTATATAATATCTCAGAATAAAGTTAGGATAATATAATTTGCATTGCTGAAATCCTTGCAAGACAGAGATTAATTTGAATATAAGCGTCATATATTTTGCTCAAGATATAAAAATGTAGTACATTTTATAAAAAGTTTTTTAACTGTATTTTTGGGTAGATTTACATAAATTTCTTCATTTATTTTCATACATTTACATGCACACACCATACTAAAAGAAACGTAAAAGAAATAAATGACCTTAGTGCAAAGGTGGAGTGCACATGTACTAATTTGATTACGGTACTAAAATTGTTATGTCTAATGCGAATTACAACATGTTTATATTCAAATAAATCAGTATCTTACAAGGATCCCAGCTATGTTAATTATATTCTCATAGGTCATATCACTGGCATTTTAAAATGAGAGAAGCTTAGTAGGACTGTTAAATAAACACAGAGACCTTCGCCTCAAACTTATCACCTCAACCCCCCCAGCCAGGCTTTTAGGCTTACAGTTTTTATCTTATATAATATCTCAGACTAAAGTTAGGAGATTATAATTTGCATTGCTGGAATCCTTGCAAGACAGCCAATAATTTGAATATAAACGTCATATATTTTGCTCAAGAGATAAAAATTGTTGTACATTAGTGTACAGTACTGTAGTACATTTTATAAAAAAGATTTTCAACTGTATTTTTGGGTAGATTTACATAGATTTCTTCATTTATTTTCATCCATTTACATGCACACACCATACTAAAAGAAATGTAATTGAAATAAATGACCTTAGTGCAAAGCTGGAGTGCACATGTACTAATTTGATTACGGTACTAAAATTGTTTTGTCTAGTGCAAATTATAGCATGTTTATATTCAAATTAATCAGTATGTTACAAGAATCCCAGCAATGTTAATTATATTCACCCAGGTCTTTTCACTGGCTTTTTATAAGAGAGAAGCTTGTCACCTAAGAACTGATAATTATACATGCGTTAGACCTGGGCCTGTGCCAACTGTCAAACGTACTACCTCCCCTCCCCCCACGCCCCCTCACTCGCTCCCACCCTCTCTCTCCCCCATCTGCTCGGCGTTGCTGGAATCCTTGTAAAACAGTGAATAATTTTAATATAAACGTCATGTATTTTGCACAAGAGATAAAAATTAATCACCTGTATCACATTACAGTAGCGATTTAAGAGTAAAAGTGTATATGTACGTATATAGTATTCCACATACACGTAAGTAGAAATAAAAAGTTTATGTGATGATCGGACAACGTCCATTTCGGATAACGTCACGTTTCCAAGAACGTATCTAGAACGTTAACTGGCGCATGACTGGATATATATATATATATATATATATATATATATATATATATATATATATATATATATATATATATATATATATATATATATATATATATACTGTACTTCATTTTTAGTCCATATAACACGCGGACTTTGAACATATGATAAACGACCTCACCAGCCAGGACTCGAACCCTCGACCTACTGTGTGGGACCAGGGAATGCTACCGACCATGCCACAAAGACACTAAAAGCAGTTCTAGACTATGTTATATTTCACACAAAGCCTGTTCATCGAGCTGATGGCGCCGTGAACCTCTCATTGGGAACTGCCCGTGCCATTTATGTGGATGTCAGTAGCATTTTACCCAATCCAGCTGGTATGAAACACGAAGTACCATATATACTACATTTTTAGTCCATATAACACGCGGACTTTGAACATATAATCAACGACCTCACCAGCCAGGACTCAAACCCTCGACCTACTGTGTGGGACCAATAGGTGGATAGTGAGATATGGTTAACAGTACTGTAGGTGGATAGTGAGATGTGGTTAACAGTACTGTAGGCGGATAGTGAGATATGGTTAACAGTACTGTAGGTGGATAGTGAGATGTGGTTAACAGTGCTGTAGGTGGATAGTGACACATGGTTAACAGTACTGTAGGTGGATAGTGAGATGTGGTTAACAGTACTGTAGGTGGATAGTGAGATGTGGTTAACAGCACTGAAGGTGGATAGTGAGATGTGGTTAATGGTACTGAAGGTGGATAGTGAGATGTGGTTAATAGTACTGTAGGTGGATAGTGAGATGTGGTTAACAGTACTGTAGGTGGATAGTGAGATGTGGTTAACAGTACTGTAGGTGGATAGTGGGATATGGTTAACAGTACTGTAGGTGGATAGTGAGATGTGGTTAACAGTACTGTAGGTGGATAGTGAGATGTGGTTAACAGTACTGTAGGTGGATAGTGAGATGTGGTTAACAGTACTGTAGGTGGATAGTGAGATGTGGTTAACAGTGCTGTAGGTGGATAGTGAGATGTGGTTAACAGTACTGTAGGTGGATAGTGAGATGTGGTTAACAGTACTGTAGGTGGATAGTGAGATGTGGTTAACAGTACTGTAGGTGGATAGTGAGATGTGGTTTACAGTACTGTAGGCGGATAGTGAGATGTGGTTAACAGTGCTGTAGGTGGATAGTGAGATGTGGTTAACAGTACTGTAGGTGGATAGTGAGATGTGGTTAACAGTACTGTAGGTGGATAGTGAGATGTGGTTTACAGTACTGTAGGCGGATAGTGAGATGTGGTTTACAGTACTGTAGGCGGATAGTGAGATGTGGTTAGTATTTTGGGAGTTCAAAAAGTATGTCTTGGATCTAACAAAGATAAACTACAGTGTAGTGTATGTTGTCATGACTTATTAACTTTGTGCATACTGTTCAGTATTGCTACTACACTGTACTAAATGTATTTTATATTAAGTACGAATATCTGTGCTTAATATTATGAATATTGGTGCCAATTACTATTAATTGTTTTTTGGCATGTAAAGTATGGTCTAGCAGCACAAAGTTCAAAATGTTTTAACTGGGTTTTTGTATATACTGTATCGGTGGTACTATACTGTACATGTACTTTCATCTTCCCTTGCGTACTGTTTAGATTAATACTACTACTTATGGAATCTTACTCAGTTGTACTCCTCTTATGTACAGTATTAAGAGTTTATTTATTTTTGTGCAGCCACTGCGTTTCTTTCAATTCTAAGTAGTTTTAGATAAAATTGAAATTCTGTATATTAAATGGATTGTTTCTCTGCAGGTGATGGAGATGTTTGTGGGCAGCAGCAGCTTAAATTCAAAGCAGCTCCAAGCATTACTGGTTACCAGCCTAGCAGCTAGCAGTGTTCCTCCCCGGCAACTTTTAAGACTTGTCTCCGGCAGCTTGGATTGCCTCTTGGCAGCTTGGAACATTACACTGCCACTTGCTCGCAGACACTGGCTCACAGACACACACAGCAGTGTGTCCCCCGCTTGCTTGTTCTGGATTAATGGAAGGCATTGTTTATGCTCTGGAGGTAGAAGATGAATAGTGTGGTAGATGATGTTGAACAAAAAGTTTTGTTTTGTGTGACAATGTGATGCCTTATTGACCACAATGGCAGTGAGGGAACGCCGAAACTGACACAGGAAATGGTGCCGTAATTGTGATGACAAGATGTAGATCCATATTATTAAGTTCTGTGAAAAGTAATAATACATCTGTACATTATGTGACACAGTGAGAGTGCAGTGTATAAAATGAATCATTTGATAAACTTTTCAAACAGTTGATTGAAGTTAGTGAAAAATTGGTCTTGAGTTTAGTAGTACAAATACAAAAAAATATGTAAGGGAATTAAAACTGCTGAGACAATTTAAGTGGGGTGATGAAGAAGGCGGAATTAATGAACGTGAGCCCGGCTGCCTGCATTGGTCGGGGCTCTATTGGTAGATCCCAGACTGGAGGCAGTGGCCATGTGCCACTGCAAGACCACAATCCAGACTTTCCTACCACAACCTCCAGTGGTGCCTCTCACAATGTGAATGTGCTTAATAATAATGTGGAGGTCAATGGTCTTACCAATGGATCAGTTATTTGCAACAACAACATTAATAATAATGACAGAAATAAAACAAGAAAGAAAAGTACAGAAACTAAAAATAGAGAACAGGGAACTGTGGGTTATGTCAGTGAGAGAGTTCGTGCATTAAGTGTCAGCAATCGGCCCAAGACACACTCGGCCCATAGGTTTGGCCCGGCAGACCTGAGAGCATCGTACAATGAGAGACTAAGATCTGGCCCAGCCAGTCTACAGCCACTGGGTCGAGGCTCTGGAGTGCGTTCTGGTCAGGATGTAGGGGGAGGGTTTGTCTACATGAGAGGGATGGGTGGATTGTACAGAAGCAATTCATCTCTAGATTTAGACCATGATGTTGAGGAACAGCCTCCTGCATCCCCACTTAGGAGGGAATATGGTTCTCATGGCTCCATCAATGTTGCTTCAGCCCCACCGGAAACATTATATTCCATTTTACGTGGACTTAAGCCTATTGAACCAATAAAGTGTGCCTCCACATCAAGTGATAATGTGGCAGGATCTCTGGCCAGTGAGGCAGAAGCCACATCTCCTAAAGTTCGTTCAAAATTTCAAAAACTGTGGGATAAAGATAAGCCTTCTATATTTAAGAAATTACGTTCAAGTAAAAGCACAGAAACCAAAGCTGACAGTAAGTTGGACATTAATTCAGAATCAAGTGCCCCAACTGGTATGACCAAATCGTGTAAATCCGGTGAACAAAATGGGGATGCAGACAGTCGCAGTGAGGAGCCACCAAATTCTGTACCCACCAGACGTTCTGCTTTTGCACATTATGACTGTCGGTCCTTAGCCACACAGTTTAATATGGGACACATGCGACTACTGCTGACTGAAAGAGCAAATACTACCACAGGAGCATCTGCAGCAGCAATGGCCGGTTCAGCACCAAGTGGTGTTCACCATGACAGCACAGAGGACTTACAGCATGATGAACACGACCCAGGAGATGGACGAAGCAATCAACTAATTAATAGGTAACGTCATTCTTATGATTATATACAATTTAACACTGTACTGTATGTGGGTTTTGGTATTGTTGATGGATTTCTTGATGACTTACGATTGATACTATCCAAGTTTGATTTAGAGAAATTTAAAATTTTATGTAAAGATTTAAAACACTATCAAATTAAATAAGTGTACATTGTATTTAAAATACTCAACTAATGTGATGAACAAACATGACATGACATAAGCCTTTGTCTTTGTCCAGTAAGGAAGGAATGATAGCCATTAATGTTCTTTATAAGAGAATATATGTGTAAAATGGGATCACCTGTAGATTAAACATCCATGCTTATTTCACCTTAAAGATTAACCACCCCAACACTATTTGGGAGGTAAGGTAAGGTTGGTGTAAGGATGATTAATATTCTGGTGAAATAAGCTGGGGTGTCTAATATTTAGGGGATCCATAAAAATGTTTCTTGAGATTTAGTATGTGCACAGTATCAGCTTTAGTGTTATTACCAATACCCAATGAAGTGCTTATATACAGTACTAACATGTCTGTCTGTATAGGATCATGTGTTTGTGAAGTCAATACTTTCCAACAAATTCTAGAATTATGTTAAACTTGGTACATTACTAATGATGTACTGTACTGTATACTTTATATAAAGAGAGAGGGAGAGAGAGAGAGAGAGAGAGAGACCTCGCTTTACGCGGTCCCACTTTACGCGTTTCCACGTTTACGTGGTACCCTGCCGAAACCGGAATGCTCACTTTCCGCGGTGTGTGTACCCTTTTACGCAGAGAGCGGCGCGAGCAGGATGCGCACAAGGTCGCCCAGTCATCAAAACATTACCGAGTTCTTCACCCGCCACCCACCACAGCCGGCCCCAGTCAGTGATAGTGATAATGATAGTGAGGATATGGACTTTGAGGGGTTTGACAAAGAGGCCCTGCAAGCCTCTGTGGTGGATAGTGATACAATTGATACAAGTTATACAGGTGAGGGCCAATAATCTGCCCTCTGCCTCGGAACCAACCCCCCATCCCCATGTGCCCAGCCATCTTTTCTACTAATGTAAGTGTTAAAAAACATAATATTATTGATATTTCTCTTAATTATTAATTGTTTGTGCATACCATCATAAAATTAAGAAGTTATTTTTACTACAACGTAGGTATTGTGTCTGAAAAAGTGGAGTTTGGGGGTCGGCCCGGTCTCTATTTCAATTAATCCCATTTGTTATGTTGTTCACTTTACGCGGGCCTCCGTGGGTTGAATTAACCGCGTAAAGTGAGGGTTCACTGTATATATATATATATATATATATATATATATATATATATATATATATATATATATATATATATATATATATATATATATATATATATATATATATATATATATATATATATATATAATGTTTATATATATATAATGTTTATATATATATACAGTTAACCCTCACTTTACACGGTTAATGTAACCCGCAGGGTCCCGCATAAAGTGAGAAACGCGTAAAGTGAATAACATAACATATGGGATTAATTGAAATAGAGTCCGGGCCGACCCCCAAACTCCACTTTTTGACAACACACAACTATGTTGTAGTAAAAATTTTATCTTAACTTTATGATGGTATGAAAAAACAAGTAATATAGAAGAGGTTAGGTTAGGAAAAATAAAGGTTAACATAGGAAAAATAAAGGTTATGTTAGAAAAACTAAAAGTTATGTGGAACACTTACGTTAGTAGGAGAGATGGGTCGGCATTTGGGGATGGAGGCTGGTTCCGAGGCAGAGGGCAAATTACTGGCCCTCAGGTGAATCACCATTACTAGGTGAATCACCATCACTGTCACTTACAGTTGTCAGGGCTTCCCTGACAAATTCCTCAAAGTCATCTTCACTGTCACTATCACTGGCTTGGGCTGGCTGTGGTGGGTTGCGGGCGAAGAACTCGGTTATGCTTTTTTGATGGCTGGTGTTTATGTTGTCTTGATACACCGTGATGTACGGCTCCATAGCCTGCACCAGCCGGGTATGGAAGACTTCATAGCGGTCATCGTCATTGTCGTGGGAAAGGAAGGACTTCATTTTCTCTGCACACTCCATGGCACCCTTAATATCACTATGAGTTAAACTGTGTTCTTCGGAGAATGACGCACCTTCTTCCTCCTCTTCACTGACGTGATCTTCCAACATCTCGTCGGCAGTCACTTCAGGATCTCTGATCACCTCCAGGATGTCGTCGTTGGTGGTCTCGGAGAAGCCTGGAACTATAACAGTCTGCGCAGCTTCTCTGGCAAGGTCCACTGCTACTGCAACAGTCTGAACCACACCAGTCACAGATTGACTCCTCCTCTCACCTGGTATTCCATGCAACACATGTCTCCATGCGTGACGAATTGTAGCAATAGACAGCTGATCCCATGACTCCACCAAGAAGTCCACAGCTTTCTTGATGTTAAATACTCTCCAGAATTGTTTGAACAGTATTTTTTGCTGTGCCAACTGTTGATCCTCATCTTCTTCGCTCTTGCTATCGGTGGTGGTGTCACTCAGGTTACGCAACTCTTCCCTGGTGTTGGTGTAGTCGTTCAGGAGTTTGAATTTTTTTGTTGAGAATGCAGCTTTTACATTACAGATTAACTCTTGGTCCATGGGCTGTAATATAGACGTAGTGTTGGGAGGAAGGAAGACCACTTTTACGTTGGGGTGACGATCTAACAGTAGGGGCGAGTGTCCTGGTGCGTTGTCCAGCAGCAACAAAATATTGAATGGCACATTCTGTCGCTCACAGAATTTCTTTACATCGGGAACAAAACAGTCATCAAACCAGGAGAGGGACAGTGTAGAGAACATCCACGCCTTACGTGCGGTCAGCCAGTGGACATTTAGCTTGGTCATGTCCATGGTTTTGTAGGCATGCGGCTTGCGTGCTGTGTGGATCACTGATAACTTGAGCTTACAGGTACCGGAGGCATTGGTGGTAAACAGGACGGTGATGCGTTCCTTCTGCATCTTCCGGCCCCGAATCCTGCTGGCATTCTTTACAACGAAGGACTTGGAAGGTAGCTTTTTCCAGAAAAGACCAGATTCGTCCATGTTAAACACCTGATCGTCACTGTACTGTCCTTCCTCCATAATCTCACGTAAAAACGGAGGAAATTCCCTAGCCGCAGCACGGTCAGCACTCGCTTCTTCACCACCAATGTTTATATTGGTGATCTTGTTCCGGATCTTAAACCTCTGTAACCACCCAGAGGAAGCATTAAAGGGTTTGGGCTCTGTAATTCCCATCTTTCGTGCCACTGCCATGTACAGTTCACGTGCGTAGTCCTTAACAGAGCGCGTGTCGACCGCCATGTTCCGTCGCGCCTGACGCACCAAGTACCTCACAAGTAATTTTTCTGTCTTCTGTCTTGAGAAGCACCTGGTTGTGAAAATACTTGATCATAGAAGCACCTGTAGACTTTGTGATCTTCATGTGCTCCTTTATCTTGGCTGCATCCTTCTTTATTGTTCGAATCGTAGATTCATTCACACCATGCTGGCGCGCCAAATCAACCTGCCTTGTTCCTTTCTCCAACTCTTGGATGATGGTATACTTCACCTCGTAGCTTAAGGAACGTCGTGTCTTCTTTGGCTTAGTGCCGCTGGGTCCAGGTAAGGAAAGGTTTCTCTCTGGGGGTGGTGGTCCGGCGGAAGCCATTTTACTGAACAATGGATGCACGATTACACGGTGTGGCCTTGAGGGATGAAACTGCCGCGGCTAGGTCAAGCGTCGTCTTTCCTCCCTCCCTCCCTCCCTCCCCCGGGTGGACACGTCATAATACCTTAAGCCAATTACAGCTAGCAGCAGAGGGGGGTAGGGATGCATGGCCAATCACAGTCCGATATGTCATATGACGTCAGTGATAACGCAACAAAGACACACACACTGCGCAACCTTACCGCGCGGCTTGCCCAAGCGGAAGAAGGACGAGGGAGAGGCGAGGAGCACAGGCAGGCAGGCGGGTGGGGCGAATCTAAAAATAATCTGCCCTCTGCCTCGGAACCAACCCCCCATCCCCGTGTGCCCAGCCATCTTTTCTACTAATGTAAGTGTTAAAAAACCTAACATTATTGATATTTCTCTTAATTATTAATTGTGTGTGCATACCATCATAAAATTCAGATGTTATTTTTACCACAACGTAGGTATTGTGTCTGAAAAAGTGGAGTTTGGGAGTCGGCCCAGTCTCTATTTCAATTAATCCCATATGTTCTGTTATTCCATTTAATCGTTTCTTGTTTTACGCATTACTCCGCGGGTTCAATTGACCGCGTAAATCGGGGACCACTGTACTTAATTTGCCTTATTTCTATATTGTCACAATGATGAATGATGCAATGGACACATTCTACCTGTGTACACAATAAGTACTAGTTAAACTTACGTGTTGAAAGTCTAGAGAGAAACCAGGTTAGGTGTTGCTTTTAACATATGGGTAGCTATAATGCCAGCCCGATCTCCTGGCCTACCCTGGCTGGTCGTCGAGGGCTGAGTCAGGTGATTATGATTATACATAAACAAGCTCCCCTTACACACTCCAACCTCCTCTGGGCCTCTCATCTCCACCATCTCAACACTACATACTGTATACGGGCAGGCACACCCAATAAACATGACATGACTTACAGCCTAGGTATAGTCTCGTTTTACGCGGTCAATTAAACCCATGGAGGTCCGCGTATAATGCGAAACGTGTAAACGAAATAACAGAACATATGGGATTAATTGAAATAGAGACTGGGCTGACCGCCAGACTACCCTTATTCCTACACAATACCTACGTTGTAGTAAAAATAACATCTTAATTTTATGATGGTATGCATACACAATTAATATTTAAGAGAAATATCAATAACATCAGGTTTTTTAAAACTTACGTTAGTAGAAGAGATGGCTGGGCACATGGGGATGGGGGGTTGGTTCCGAGGCAGAGGGCAGATTATTGACCCTCACCTGTATCACTTGTATGACTATCCACCACAGAGGCTAGCAGGGCCTCCTTGTCAAACCCCTCAAAGTCCATATCCTCACTATCACTGACTTGGGGTGGCTGTGGTGGGTGGCGGGTGAAGAACTCGGTAATGTTTTGTTGACTGGGCAAGGAAGGTTAAATAGACCAATCACAGCTCGCGGCGGAAGGGATGCGTGGGTGGTAAGGATGCGTGGCCCAATCACAGTCCAAAACGTCATTTGACGTCAGCGGTGACGTAAGAGCAACCTACCGCGCAGCTTGTCCGCGCCGCTTCCCGCGTAAATTCGGGAATGTACCGCGTAACTAATAATTGGCGCACCTGGACAGGTGCCGCGTAAATGACCAACCGCGTTTAAAAAATCCCTGTAAACCGAGACTATACTGTATATTGATGTTTAATCAAGCATTATGAGGTACCGTTTTATAATATCCCTTAAAAGGCGTCCGCTTTCTCCTATCTGTATTGATTGGTGCATAACTGTTGCTATTTCTACCAATGGTACAGTACTTGCCATAAGTTTACATTTGTAAGTTGGTCACAGGTATGGTGTTAAGTTTCATAATGTGTGAGAGGTGTCATCATAACTAGGGGATCACTTGATCTCCAGTCACAGAAGGATAATGAAACATGATCAAGACAATTTTGATACTCATTGTGATATTGATGAGAACCATAAATTTTTTATGAAATTTTCCAGTTGCCCATTCTTCCGTAATGAGCTTGGCGGCGAAGGGGAACGTGTGGTCAGCCTCAGCAGGGATTGGGGATGTGGAGCAAGACCAAGTACCCCAACCCTTGCACTGGGTCTCCACCGACCTGTGGCAGCAACTACTCTTGGTCTTTTAGAACCCCCTGTTGGACAGTCTCACTGGCGGATGACACTCTGTCCATATGTCAGAAGCCCTCTTACCATTGAAGCAGTAGACCAAGGAGCAACTTACTACCGAAGCTATTTCTGTGGGCAAGGTTTGTTGCATATTGTTGTTATAAATTTTCAAGCTTATTCACTCTAACCTTTTAATATAAAATATTTATTATTTCACTCTGTCTGAAGACAATATTCGATACAGGAAACCTGTGACACAACCCTTTTCATATTTTCTTTTTCTTTTTAATTTTTCTATGTTCATTATAAAGTCGTAGATGGTAAAGAATGACATGCTTAACCCTGAAGCCCCGGGTCAGGGTGCCGCTGGCAGTACCCCCCACCCGGGGGTAAACCTAGAAAAGTCTATTTTTCTAAAAAAAATAATTTTTAGCCTTTTTAAATGATAAAACAATAAAAAATAAGTAAGAAAAACTAGATATTGATCCTCTAAAAACTTCCCTGGCAGCGCGGATGGAGGGAGATGTAATAGCTCTTTTGGCATTACATTACTTGTTTTAAATAAGTTCTGGAACTCTTAAGTGGCTGGGCTGAAGAAACAATTTGCTGGTTTTTCTTTATTGTAGAAAATTATAGTTTCACAGGTACTTAATTCGGTTGAGAGTATGGGCCAATTGCAAGGTCACCGTTGTGTACACCACACTGTGGTATCCCGGCGGTCGTAATACAATGGAAGAAAAATTGTGTGATTTTTCAAGAAGGGCCATGGTGGTACCCGACCGTCGTTTGTTGTTACTACGTCATCTTAGTGTAGTCAGGTGTACCAACTGGTGGAAGACTGGGAGGTTGGTATGCTTGCACCCTCAAAACAATGTCAGTGGCACGAAACGTTTACTCTTGCTACACGATTTACGAGCATGAAAAACTTGAATCCCAAGCTAAGATGCACCTCATTTTCCTATTTTCTTGGATTATAAGCCAATTCTGGGAATGAAATATTATCACTTACAGTGAATTTAGGTAATTAAAGCCTGTGACAACCATAAAAACATTGGAATAGAGTGTAATATATGTTCCTTTCTTTTTTATCCTTATTAAATCTAACAATAAAGTAATAAGTTTGTCATGAACTTGAGGTTGGGTGAGTGTAAATAAAGAGAACTCTGGCCTGTTCTGTGGATGAAGTCAGTAGAATATAACAAATTACAGTACAGGTTGATAACCCTTTATCCGAAATTCCGAAAACCGAAATGCCTCTGGCCCCAAGGATTTCGGATAAAGGATTGTCAACCTGTATTAGGTGCAGCGTATTATAATTTTGCTATGACAGTGATGAACTCACTGTACAGATGAATTGGGATAAAATCTTGAAAAAAATATCACCATAACTGTTAGTTTTCTATCAAACAGGAAATTATCTTTGTACCAAAAATTTTTACGTTCATATTATACAAGTATAAAGGCCAGTTATCTACAAGATAAGAAACCTTGAGATACTGTTTCCAACTTGTCCCCGCCTGATTATAGTAATGCAATAAATACCCTAAGGAAGATAGCAAGACATGAACACTTTCCCAATGTCAGGAGTAAAAATGTATACAATATGTTAATGACATGGACTGAACCAGCAGTTGGATAAAAGTATCTGCTGTTTAAATGGTCTTTTATTTGGAAAAATATTCCATGTAAATACTGTATATGGATCCTCACCAGAGTCTTCATATACTGTAGTTAGTGTGCAGACATTTGTTAATAAGGCAAATACTCACAACTATAATGGAAAGGAAGACATGTTAGGTTTGGTTAGATTAGGTTCATCTTGTGAGCAAATGTCATGGAACCCATATACAGTAGGTATATTCATGAAATTCTACCAATTAATCAGAGTAAAAATTTTAAACATAAAACAAGATGATCATTAAATGGTTTTAAAATATCTATCAATACAGTCTGCAATGTTAATTGCAAATTATTTATGCATTTTTTAATGTTTAATATAAACTGTGATAATAATAAGGATAAGAATACAATGATAATGCTTATGTCAGAATATAGCCTTTATTAAAAACAGGATATGTTATAATATATGGATGATCAACAGTAAAGTATTTTAACGGAAAAATCATCCACAAATTTCACAAATATATTATTACATAATATCCATGTACTGTACATATGCAGTGTAAAAATTAAAAAAATTAATTAAGGCATATGTTATGATTTCTCCAAGGCATATTTACTGAAAATTCCAGAAACTGCATTTTTTTTGTGGTCTATGAATAATTTGGGAATTTTACGGAAAGTCTCCAAATTTTCTGTTCCGAGTCTGGGAACCAATTCCGAGGTTAGGTAGCAAATTCCAGAATTTTCCCAGGAACCGGAAAAATTCCCCACCAATCATGATACCAAGATTTATTTCTTCAGTATTGGTGAAAGGTGAATAGTTAGCTGTATCTCCACCTGTAAGTGAAAATAAAGTCATTACTGTAATATTGTGTTAGTTAAATTTGCAAATTCTGAAGCATCTTTATTTATGAGGGTTAATATTTATAAGTTTTCATTACCTACATATTATGGGTAATTTTGTCTATTAAAAAAAAATCAATGGAAACTCAGATTTGTTTGGTTTGATATGCAACACACACTCATAAAATGTATCTTTTTTTTCTAATGTAGATTTTTATGGTGATTCCAAAACTGTGATCCTTTTTTTTTTTTTAGAAATTCATAGAAAAGAATAATATAAGCCCTTTAAAATTTTAATGTTTTACATCAAAATGTTAACCTAACCTACCTAACTTAACCTAACTGGAAAACATCGGTCAACTTAAAATCCAAAAATTCCCTGGATAACCGAAAAGATAATACAGTAATACCCCGCTTAACACGGTTTCGCTTAGCGTGATTTCACATATACGCGGTGCCTCGCCAGAGCTGAACTTTCACTTAACGCGGGTTTTTTCCACGTATACGCCCAGAGTGTCCGGCTCGAGAGCTATTTTTAGATTCCCCCCACCTGCCACCCTGCCTGACTGCCTGTTTTAGCTCATAAAATTCATACAAATTACCCGGCCAGAATATAATTTACATTGCTGGAATTCTTACAATATGATGATCATTTTGAATATAAACATCATAGATTTTGCATTAGACATACAAATTTTAGATATAATGTTTACTCTGAGTAAATATGTTATTTTTTGTGCAAAATATATGACATTTGTATTCAAAATATTCCTGGTCTTACAAGGAATCCAGCAATGTCAATTATATTATCCTAACTTTAGTTTGAGGTATTATTTATTACTAAAAAGGTAAATATTCTGGTTTTCCCACACATCTGGTAGGGACGGTTGGTGGGGGGTGGGGGGGAGGGAGGGACCGACCGACCATCTGTTACCGTGTGAAGAATATTTTTTTTTTTTATTAACTGAAGATATTTGTTTTAGCTCATAAAATTCATACAAATTACCCGGTCAGAATATAATTTACATTGCTGGAATTCTTACAATTTGATGATCATTTTGAATATAAACATCATAGATTTTGCATTAGACATACAAATTTTAGATATAATGTTTACTCTGAGTAAATATGTTATTTTTTGTGCAAAATATATGACATTTGTATTCAAAATATTCCTGGTCTTACAAGGAATCCAGCAATGTCAATTATATTATCCTAACTTTAGTTTGAGGTATTATTTATTACTAAAAAGGTAAATATTCTGGTTTTCCCACACATCTGGTGGGACGGTTGGTGGGGGGTGGGGGGAGGGAGGGACCGACCGACCATCTGTTACCGTGTGAAGAATATTTTTTTTTTTTATTAACTGAAGATATTTGTTTTAGCTCATAAAATTCATACAAATTACCGGGTCAGAATATAATTTACATTGCTGGAATTCTTATAATTTGATGATCATTTTGAATATAAACATCATAGATTTTGCATTAGACATACAAATTTTAGATGAAATGTTTACTCTGAGTAAATATGTTATCTTTTGTGCAAAATATATGACATTTATATTCAGAATATTCCTGGTCTTACAAGGAATCCAGCAATGTCAATTATATTATCCTAACTTTAATCTGAGGTATCATTTAATACAAAATGTTAAAATTTAGTTTTTTCACCCAACATCTCTTGAGGGGAGGATTGGTGGGGGGGAGGGTTGGGACGGACTGCGCGGTTGGAAGAGGGGGGAGGCAAGGTGGGGTACTTTGATTGACAGATAGTGTCGTGAAGAATATTTTTTTTTTATTAACTGAAAATATTTGTTTTACCTCATAAAATTCAGACAAATTACCCGGCCAGAATATAATTTACATTGATGGAATTCTTATAATTTGGTGATCATTTTGAATATAAACATCATAGATTTTGCATTAGACATACAAATTTTAGATATAATGTTTACTCTGAGTAAATATGTTATCTTTTGTGCAAAATATATGACATTTATATTCAAAATATTCCTGGTCTTACAAGGAATCCAGCAATGTCAATTGTATTATCCTAACTTTAGTTTGAGGTATTATTTATTAAAATTTAGTGGTTTTTCCCCCCAAAATTTCTCAAGAGAGGGAAGAGCCAGCAGTGTAGTGTGAGAAGAATGGGAGGGAGTTGAGTCCATTATTTGAATGGACATTAACTTGGCGACTGTATTTCTCTATTTCTCTTAAGTATTAATTGTGTGCATGTACCATCATAAAATTAAGATGTTATTTTTACTAGAACATAGGTATTGTGTCGGAAAAAGTGGAGTTTGGGGGTCGGGCCAGTTTCTATTGGAATTAACCCCATATGTTCTGTTGTTCACTTAGCGCGGTTTTCACTTAACACGGTACCCTGTGGGTTTTATTGACCGCGTTAAGCGGGGTACTACTGTACTGTAATATCATCAATTTCATTTATGTGGGAAGACATTACCGTAATTTTCAGCTTGGAAGACGCTGCATCGTGGAAGACGCACCCTGATTTTGGAAATGTAATTCTAGGAAAAAACCGTTTTATACTTACGAACTGACAACAGTGAAACCGTTGCTTGATATACAGCCCTTATGGCACAAGTACACACACCTCTTTGAATATCATAACTTAGAACTGCTTATCAGTCGTCATTTTCATCAATTTA